TATGTTTTGTTTCTTCCATGTTGAACTGGGTTATTTACAATTACAATGGCATATTTATTATCCACATAAATAACAGTTGGAACCTCTTGCACCATATTAAATTCATTCAAAAATTTTCTGAGCCATATAGCCTGATTTGCTTGCTGCTGTTCTATATTCAGCCTCTGCAGTGGACTGAGCTACAACCTCCTGCTACATTGAAGTCCAAGCAAAAATAACTAACCCAAATGAAAAAACAAATCCTAAAGTACTCTTGCAATCATCTAAATTTCTTGCCCAATCACTATCAGAATATCCTTACAATGCACCACTTTCTTCTCTTGAATACCAAATAATATAACCAACCGTTCTTTTTAAATACCTCAGCACCTTTTTTGTTGCTCTAAGGTGCTTTTGACTAGGTGAATTCATAAATCTTGATAAATAACTAGCTGAGAACATCAAATCTGGCCTGGTAACAGTCAAATAAAGGAGTTTTCCAATCAACTTCTATAAAAACTTGCATTTACTTTCTCAGCTTCATCAAACTTTGACAACTTTTCACCTGCAGAAAATGGTATGGTAGTTGATTTGCAATTCTGCATTTTAAAGCTTTTTAAGATATCTCATGTATACTTTTTTTGAGAAAGAAAAATTTCATCATTAAATTGCTTGACCATACCAAAGAAATAAGTCATTTCCCCAATATCCGACATCTCAAACTCTGTCATTATATGTTGTTTAAATTGCATCAACAGCTTTAAGTCTCCTCATGTCACCAGCAAATCATCAACATATATTGACACAACAAGCTGATTGTTGTCATCAATGCCCTTCATGTAAAGAATTGCTTCAGTTTCGCTCCTCTTAAAATCCATGCTGATCAAATTTGAATCAATTCTGGTGTACCAAGTTCTAGGAGCTCGCTTAAGCCTATATAAGGCCTTCTTTAGCTTATACACATAATCACCATCTTCGAAAACCTAAAAACTTTGTGGTTATTCTACATAAATCTCTTCTTCCAAGACTCCGTTTAAAAAAGTTGACTTCACATCTAAATGAAACAGCTTCCAACTTTTCTTTGCTGCAAGAGCTGCAAGTAAACCTTATTGTTTCATGTCTTGCAACTGGTGTAAAAGTATCACCAAAATCAACTCCTGCAAGCTGATCATATCCCTTCACCACAAGTCTAGCTTTATACTTGAAGACTGACCCATCAGCATTAAATTTAGTTCAGTAGACCCATTTTACCCCTATCACATTCTTGTTCAGAGGTCTTGATGTGAGCTCCCATATTTCATTCTTGCAAATTGTGTCAAACTCCTCCTACATAGCCATTTTTCATTTAAGATACTTTGAGGCTTCATCAAAGTTAGATGGTTTTATAACTACTAAGTTGCATCTCTCATAAATTTCAGCAAGTGACTTTGTTTTCTTGGTAGGAGTATCAGCAGTAAGATCTGAATCAATATCACGGTCGCTTTGTTCATGTTGAACAAAATTACTTGGACCCGATATAGATTCGAAAGCAACTGACCTTCCTCAATTTTTTTTATTTTAACTTGTTTCTTCTCCCAATCCCAACAAGTTTGTTCATCAAATCTTACATCCCTACTGACATATATTTTACCAGAATGCACATCATTAATTCTATAACCTTTGGTCTGTCCTGCATATCCCAAGAATAAACCAATTTGAGCTATGTCATTCAACTTGGTCCTCTTCACAAAAGAAACAAGTGTATACCAAATTGAATAAAAGATTCTTAAGTGCTTTACTGAAGGCTTTGAACCACTTCATGCCTCAATTGGAGTTTTTTTTTTAATTGATCTGGTGGAAAGTCAGTTAAGCAGATAAACTAAAGTATATACAGATTCAGCCCAAAAATTTTTGGGCAACTCCTTCTCTGACATTAAGTATCTGGCCATCTCCATTACTGTCCTATTCTTTCTTTCTGAGACTCAATTTTGCTCAGGTGAATAAGCAACAGTAAATTGTTACAATATACCACAATCATCACAAAATTTTCTGAACTCAGCTGAAATATATTTACTGCCATTATCAAACCTTAAGTTTGTTATCTCACATCCATTTTGCTTTTTTAA